ACAAGAACCCCACTCAGGATGTGGGGAAAAAACTATACCCCTGGGGAAGGTCCTCCTCCGCCTCCTCCTCCGCCCCCGCCTCCTCCCCCGCCTGGCCCGAGCAGTGCAGCGGGGATGGCGGCGACGTGCCGCCTGGGCCCCGTCGCGGTGCGCGCCGGCACTCTGTGCAAGGCCGACCAGGACGCGATCTGGCAGGCGGGGTGCTGGCCGACGGCCCCCATCCTCCTCCTCCTCCTCTTCCTTCTCCTCCTCCTCGTTGGCTCAGGTTTAAAAATCTCCCCTCCCCTGACCTCCGATGTATCGATTTGTTTTTTTTCCGAGACGCGGTCCACGGACGTCCCGACGACTCCTCCAGGGCTGACGTTTCGTTCCGAGGTGTTGTTTTGACGGTCCTGGGGCCCGTCGAGGGCCCCCGGCGGCCGCAAACAGCTAAAAACGTTCGTCTCGATTTTGTCGAGACGTCGGAGGTCGGGGTCGGCGGCCCCCCCCAGGGTAAGTATTTTTCGCCTGAGGCGCGTTCGGGTCGGACGCGCCCCCGGGGCCCTCAATCCTCAATCCCTGCCCGGGGGAGAGCGTGGGCTAGCGCAGGGCCCGCGGCCTGTTTCCGGCCCCCCCCCCCCCCCCGCACCCTCCGAACAAAAACAAAAAAAAAGAAAACGCGTCCGCGCAGGGATCCGTCGCTCAGTTTTTTGTTGATCCATCGCTTAATTCTTGACGCTTCGGGGAGGCCCCCTTGGGGCCGTCTCTGGTCGAAAAAAATAATACCCTGCCTCCGGCGGGCGCCGCGCCCCCCCCCTGCCCCTCCTCTCGTCCTTGCCCCCCTCTCCGGTTCGGAAGCGCGACCGGGACTCGGTCAGGAAGCTGATCGTCGAGGGCCCCGCGGACCGATTGCGGGACGGGCTCAGGCTGTCGCTCGAGATCATCGAGCGGACGGCCGCTGCAGAGGCCCTCGATGAGCTCGTGAAGGCCGATCAGTACGACGAGTGGGCGTCGTGGATCGCCCGACACCGAAAATTGCCGCGGGGTTCTGGATTATCGCCTGTCCTCCTCCTCATCCCCGTGGTCCGCGGGAAACGTAAGAGTCCTCAACCCAGCTCGTGATTAGCAGTAGTTGCAGGTTCCCGTGTGCTTGCGCTGTAATTTCTCGATGACGGGCACTGTGGATTCCGCGAGCATCCGGTCCGATCCGAACCACCCCCCCGTGCTCCTCATCCTCCTTCCTCCTCCTCGTCGTCGTCGTCGTCGTCCTCCTCCTCCTCATCCTCCTCGGGCGAGAAATGCGCATTCGCGCCCGCATAAATGTGACCCCACCCTTGCGATTGGGCTTTAAAAACAGCGGCGCTTTGTAGCGCGCGCTGTTTGCCTCATCCCGTGCACGCCGATTGGCTGTTAGGAAGATGCTCTATCCCACTAGGTAGGATAGCTGCCGGGGCGGAAATTCGAGCAGTTATTCGTGGTTTCGTTGTCCTGCTTGGGTTTTGCATCCTAGTTGATTCATCCTGTGCGCTCCCATCTCCTCCCTCCAAACAAAAATGTAACCCCGCCCCCTCCTCCGTCACCCACTCCCTCCTCCTCCCTCCCCCCTCTCCTGGCATTCCCGACACGCCCTTCGGCTTCATCGGCAGGAATGCCAAAATGCCCTCTCCTGGCGCGAGCGTGAGCCGTTCGGGCCCGCCTCCAGGGGATCATCGGAGGCTTCTTCGGGCCTCTGTGGCCGCCTTGCAAAAATTAGGGCGGGTGTCGTATGCAGTTCATATGCGCAACATGTTGTGTTTTTATGTTGCCTATTTCTCGCCTGAGGAAGAGGGGGGTGGAGGAGGGAGGAGGAGGGGGAGGAGGAGGAGGATCCCGCCAGGATTTTGGAGGCGGCCGGGGGGTCTGAACTGGTTGGGATGCCCGAAAATCGGCACAGAGGGGGGGATCAAGGCGAAATCCGCTCAAAATCGGCCGCCGGACCTCTCCCGGGGTCCATCCGACGCAGCTTTTCACCCCGGATCTGTTTTTGACGGCCCCGGGGGCCGAAAACAGGCCCCGGGGGCCGAAACGGGCGAAAAACCTCCCCGAACCAGTGCTGGGCCACCTCAGCCCCCCAGCCGGCTCCAACCAGGATGGAGTACGCTTCCTCGCTCGCGGACACGCGATGGGAGCGCATGGAGCAGCCGCCCGCCGAGGCCCGGGTCGGGCGAAAGGGAGGGATTGGGAAAGGGGGGGTTACGAAATCTGCTGCATGCAGCTGGTTTCGGCCCCGCCGAGGGGCCCATTCCTCGATACGTGGGCGCCTCCGGCGCCGGGAGGCGCCGGGAAAATCAGCTACGTGAGCTGATTCGCTAACCCCCCCTTTGCTACCCCCCCCCTTTCGTCCGCCCCGAGAGGCCGGGGCCGAGCCGGAGGTCGACGAGGCGTCGAAGTCTGTTCCTGCTCCACCTCCTCCTATTCCTCGTCGCCTTCCTCTT